TGGTTTGGTTTTGAATTTTAAAAATCGATCAAATTTGGTTTGGTTTTGGTTTTAATCAGAAAAAAACCGAAAAAAAAATCCGAACCAAACCGACTATAAGAGTAGCTATTTCAGATTTATTATTACACCTATATATATGTATATTTCTATACAAACTTTCAAAAATTTAGTGGTAAATGTTAATAGTTTGCACTTTTAGTATAGTTCTTTACCTTTACATTCTAGTTTGATTGGTAGTTTTCTTTTGTTAAGTGTAAGAATTCATTTCTTGTTAAAAAGAATATATTTTTAATTGAGTCCTTAAATTATTCATCACTATTTGATTCAATTATTATCAATATATCTTGGTAAATAATAGATTTCTCAAAGAGCAATTGATTTGATAGTGTTACGTTGAAAATGTGATCTCGAAATATGTGTTTGATAGTGTATGTCTTATATTAAAAAAACGACAAATAACCGAAAATCCGACATAAACCGAATCGAGAAAAAACCGACTTAATTTGTTTGGTTTTAATATTTAAAAAATCGGTTTACTTGATTTGATTTTTTTTAGGAAAAAACTGATCAAAACCGAACCATGAACACCCCTAGTGGCAGATGTTGAGTATTGATAGATTGGACCGTTACTGTGATTGTTATCCTCAAAGAATTTGTTAAATACGTTAGTTTGATGGAATTTACCAATTGCAGGAGTTTAATATAGAAAAGGACACATTTATCTTATACTCCTATTTATCTATATTACTAAAAAATAAGTTAAAATAATTATTACACAAAAATTAAAATAAATAAAGTAAACGTAATGTTAAAAACTAGTATAAGGCATGTCAATCTCAGAAATTATCCTAACAGTAAATTATAATTTTGCATAAGAAAGCTGAGGCTCGGGGCGGCACAGTTGTCAGCATAATTTATTTGTTTTTGGCTACATAATGTGCAGTTGTGGGCTAGGCGACTGTTTATAGTTTTTGCCGAGCGACTAACTTTGTCAAAAGCTTATTAGTTAGTGTATCCTAAATTATAGCTATACAGTTTAATTTTTCGGGACAAAATATTCTGAATTATTTTAAATTTGAGATTTTTCATTCATATTTTCAGAATAGTATAAGTACTGGTTAATTTCTAAATAACAATTTTAAAATTGCTTGTTTGTGTACTTTCCCGTATAAGATCCAGTTCCCAAGCCCAGTAAGAAAGGGAAAAAAAGCAGAAATAATAAGATTTACAACTAATAACTGAAAAATAGGCATAGTTTCAAAAGTAACTAAAATTTAGTCACTTTTCATATAAAGATAAAATCTAAACAAAATATCCTTAAAAATTCGAAAAAATTCCAGCATAATATGTTGTAGTTCGAATTTTTTACATATGAGTTTTCAGCATAATGTGTTGGAGTTCCAACATAATATGCGGGAAGTTTATATGCAGGAGCTCCAATCCCGCATATTATGCTGAAAATTTTCGTGTGTTGGAGTTCCAACATAATATGCTGGAAGTTTATATGCAGGAGCTCTATAAATCCCGCATATTATGCTGGAACTTTTCGTGTTTCAATAAAACAATAGCTATTTTTCAATGACTTTGCAAATGCTGGTTATTTTTTCCAATCCAAAACTGGCTAGCCAGTGCTATTTTCAATGTACTTCCCCATATAAGATCCAGTTCCGAAGCCTAACAAGACAGAGTAATCTACACGGTATATCCACTGAAAATGCTAGTTAACTCCATATATCTTTGAAATATTTTTATTTTACTTTGTATAGCTACTTTATAAAAGTTTATTACTTTTTAAATTTTTAATATCATTATATGCCATTAAATAAATCTCACCTTTTAAAGAACTAAATTATCTCTCACTCCAACTTAATAAATTCCTTAAAACACTCCATCATCCCACGTTTTAAGGAATTGGAATTATACATATTCACCAACAAGCCAAACCCCAACAATTTCTCTATGAAGCCCTCCATACTCCTTTTCTTCTCTTTCATCAATGTAATCAAAAGAAAAACAAAATAAGGTGAAAATGTTCTAATTAGGGATATAATATATTAAAATATATTATTCAAACCAATACACCACAATATCCTAATGAAAAATACAATATTCAAATCAAACAACTATAATATTCCAATTTAGAATACAATATTCAAATCGAACATAACACAATATTCTAATTTGGAATACAATATTCAAATCAAACATACAATAAGTATTCTAATTTTGAATATAGTATTCAAATCAAACATACCACAATATTCTAATTTGGTAACAATATTCAAACTAAATTTTCCAAATTAAAAAACAAATTATAGAATATTTGGGTTGTACATTATATTCCAAATTAAAATATTATTTGAATATTGTAGTCCAAATTAGAATATTATAGCATTTGAATAATATATTACAAATTAAAATATTATGGTATATTTTGTTTGACTAATATATTCTAAATTAGAATACTATAATATGCTTGATTTAGATATTATACTCGTCATTAGAATATTGTGATATATTCAATTTGAATTGTATTTTAAATTAGAATATTGTGACATGTTCAGAATATGTTGAAAGATTTGAAAGTATAAAGTATACAATATCATAAATGAAGTTCTGATGGAAAATATGAATATGGTTCAATTAGGAGATATGTGAATCTCAAAGTACATGTTTTAGTAATTAAGGCTACATTTAAGAAATATTATTCCCTTATTAATAATGGTTGTTATACTCGTAAGATTCTCTATCAAGATATGCAATGTAATTTCTTTATGGGTATACAATGTAGAGAAACTTTTAGAAACCACTATGTTTTAGCGGTTATTAGCTAGTTGTAGCTACCATTTACTATATTATTTTCATATAGCTATGTTTTCGGGTTTTTTAGAGTGTATTCGATGTATTTAAGCTACTGCATTCATGAATACAATAACATTTCTCAGCGTGAAACAGGGGATTACAGTTAGACAGATTATTGTATTCGACTGTATTCACGGCATAAAATAGGGTATTATAGCTAGATAAATTATTGTATTCGACTGTATTCACGATATGTATTTGTGAATACAGTAACGTAAATAGCGCAATTCATGGTCTATTCAGATGTTTTTAAACGGAAAGTGAATCAATTAATATAATAGACTCCTAATATAACTCAACAAACACAATTATAAATCTGAATACATAAAATACATAAATTATATTAATTAAAAAAATATATGAATACATTGATGGAATATAGCGGGACAGTGAATCTCAAGTTGCTCAATCTCAAACTCAGTCGTCTTTGTTCAAGAACAACCCTAATGTCGTTTCGTCGATAGCAGATTTCGAACCTCTATAATAAAAGAAGATTTTTCAGCAATTTCCCAAACTTTCTCCCACCACCTCCGCAGTGTCGCTTCTTTTCTCTCTCCGCCATCTCTAATTCAGTCGTCAGAGCAAGTTTTGTCTTCATCCTTAAGTGCAAAAATGCACACCTAGTTCGTTTTTGCCACGGAAGAGAACGGATGCTTTGATGGGTCACTGTATTTGAAGGGATAAATAATTGGTTTTAAGCAATCTTGGAATAAAGAAGAAGAATTTGTGAAATTGGGCTGTTATTAATGGTAGCACAACATTGGAGTTGCCCTGGAAAATTCTTTGTTCTTTTCGAACAAAGCTGTTTCAGAGATTTCAAAGATAGCTTCTATTTTTTTACGCGATGATGACGATGATGATTACGAAGAGGAAATTGAGGTTGTATTCATGGAGAAAAACTGGGTTGGGAGAGAGAGAAGGGGTGGAGAAAAATTTGAAAGAGCGAGAGAGAAAAATAATACAAAGCGTATTTTATGGCTTAAGGGTAGGAGGTGACCATAAATAGATATTTGGCTATAAAAATCAAAAGGTAGCTATGGAATATAATTTTTTAAAAGGATATTTATATAAAATAAATAAGGTATCAACTTTTGCTACAGGAGGTAAAAATTCCTACAATGTAACTTTCATCATTAAGGCATAGTGAGTAAAGAGATGTATTAGAGGCATTTGCATCTATACCCGTTTTTTGGGTCACGTTTTAACTTGTGTCCGCATTGCAAAAAAAATTGCAAGCGTACCCATTTTTTTGCGTAACTTCAGTATACGGGCCTGAAGTAACAAAGACAATCACGCAAACTTCAGCATTCTAGTAGACATGCCTGAAGTAGCAAAACTTGTTGAACCAAGTGTGCTGAAGTTTTTGTTTGGAATTGCTGAACCTAAGCATAGTAGCTGAAGTTTTGTTCTCTATTTGCTGAAGTTTTTGTTTGTAATTGTTGAACTTAAGCATAGTAGCTGAAGTTTTGTTCTCTATTTGCTGAAATTTTTGTTTGTAATTACTGAGCTTAAGCATTTTAGTAACTGAAGTTTTATTCTCTATTTGCTGAACTTCAGCATGTTTTAGCTGAAGTTTTGTTCTATATTTGCTGAACTTCAGCATGTTTTATGCTATCGTGTAATTAATTTTTGTACAGATAATAAGTTTATCATAAGTAGAATTAGTAACTTAAAAAACTAGATAATGATTTAGCACAACAGGTTAAAATATATTGATAATGTACAAAGTTGAATCCAAAAAAAATAATAGAATGTGAATTAAAGGAAATGAACTTATATTTACATACATGTACGTACTTACTTTAGAAAGTTATTTATAATTTATTTTTAAATAATCTGATAAACATACTTACGACAATCATCCCATGAACTGAAGTTTCATAGCAGCAGCAGAAGAAGAAGAAAACAAAGGAGGAGAAGGAGGAGGAGAAATGGGGCTGAAGTTGTTTAAAAAGTAAGTACAAGTTCAATTTTTTTTTTAAAAAAATATAGGTTAAACGGGGCGACCAAATAGGGCGCCCGTGCAATTTTTACGATGTATTATAGTTGTATACGGCGTTAAAAGCCCAACAATAAATGCATAGCCCAGATTAAAATAATCGGCCCATGTGCCTTATGAGAGAAAAAATATCTGAAACAAATCAAATTATGAGCACACTTTGAACTCTGCAGTCGCATAGCTCCACTAACAATGGAGGCTTTAACACACCTAAGCTTCGGCATTTGCACTCCCCGCCTTTCACCACCATTTCAACTTCCCGCCGCCGGTAAGAAGCCACTGCGACTCAATGCTGTTACCGGCGGAGCTAGTAGCGTTACCGGTGGAGCAAGTAGTGTCCCGACTAACTTCTCCGCCAGCAAATGGGCTGATCGTCTTCTCGCCGACTTCCAATTCCTTCCTTCCACCACCACCTCCACCTCCGACTCACCGGATTTCCTAAATTCAACTTCCTCTACCGCCACCGCAACTACTCTTCCTCCGCTCTCTCCTCCTCCAGACCGCCACATTTCTATGCCGATAGACTTTTACAGAGTGCTTGGTGCTGAATCTCATTTCCTCGGTGACGGTATCAGAAGAGCTTACGATGCTAGAATTACAAAGCCGCCGCAGTACGGCTACACTCAGGAAGCATTAATTGGCCGACGACAGATTCTTCAAGCTGCTTGTGAAACCCTAGCTGACTCTACTTCTCGTAGAGAGTACAATCAAGGCCTTGCCCAGCATGAGTTTGATACTATTGTTACTCCTGTCCCCTGGGATAAAGTATCTTTTTACCTTCCAGTACTTCCTTTTTTACTATTCACATTCTTAATTACTTGAATGAATGTTTTAGCTTTGTTATTAAATTTATTGTGTTAATCTCAATCTTATTTTGACAGTGTTTAGACGTTTTACTCTATCAGTATATTTTAGCTAACAATTGTAGCATGTTACTTATCTTATTTTTCGAAGTACCGATTGTAAGTAGCTGCTGATAAAATCGTAGAAGTTTGCATTTTTAAGTTATATGTACAGTGAGAGCAACATGATCAATTATTTTCCAAATTACTAATCTGCACTTACTATAGGCAACGGTAAATTGCTAAAGTTTTGGCTAAAGTTATATAGTGAAAGTAAAAGATTTTGTACATGATCAGTGTATTTTAACCGGTTGTAGCTTGTTACTTTTTTTTTTCCAGATTACCAATCCAAACTTAGTATAGGCAATGAGATGTAGTTAGCTCTTAAAGCTTAACTAAATGGTAGTGTGATAAAAAGTTTACCTTGTTGGTTATAAAACGTAAAACCTATAAAAGTTTTAGTGGGATGCAAAGAATTTAAAGGAATGTTATGGATTTTTGCAGGTTCCTGGAGCATTATGTGTTTTGCAAGAAGCTGGTGAGACTGAAGTAGTTCTTCAGATTGGGGAGAGCTTGCTGAAAGAGAGGTTGCCTAAGTCGTTCAAGCAAGATGTGGTCTTAGCTATGTCACTCGCATATGTTGACCTTTCGCGGGATGCCATGTCCCTTTCACCTCCTGATTTTGTTAAAGGTTGTGAACTGCTTGAGAGAGCGCTTAAGCTATTGCAGGTATAGTAACTTCTGATGATATGACTCACTTAAAGTGAATGTGGTGGTATATCTGAAATTCCATACAAAAGGGAAAGAACATGGCAATAGCTCATTTCTATAGTTTATGCACTATAGCATCGGTTTTACAGCTGCAAATGGCTCTCACAAACGACTTTAGTGGTGGAGGAGGGTTTATATTGCTGTATTAATTTATGACTCTTCATTCTGATTTACCTAAGAATGAATGTTCTGCTTGGTCATCCATCATTCAATAGTCTGAGATATTAGTCATAGGCAAGGACTTCAGATTACATCTCTGTTTGTTTGTTTTGTAATTTGCGTGGGTACGCATGAATGTTTTTCTTTCCCTCTTGTCTTCTTCAATGCACTCTTTTTTTGGGGGGTGGGGTGATGCTAAGCTTACAGTGAGGAGCAAATAATGAGGAACTTTCTGCCCTTCATTTGCCAGGAAGAAGGTGCAAGTAATCTTGCCCCTGATCTGCAAGCCCAGATAGATGAGACATTGGAAGAGATAAATCCGCGCTACGCACTTGAACTTCTAGCTTTTCCTCTTGGTGATGAACACCGAATGAAAAGAGCAGAGGGTCTTCAAGGTGTGCGCAATATTTTGTGGGCTGTTGGAGGAGGTGGAGCAGCTGCAATCTCTGGGGGGTTCACGCGAGAAGATTTCATGAACGAGGCCTTCCTACGAATGACAGCTGCTGAGCAGGTTGGCTTATCTATGTTTCGTATATTTTAGTTTCTTTGTAACTGTTTTTACACTCCTTTTCTTCATTTTCCTCTTCCTTTTTAAAAGGTGGACCTTTTCGTAGCAACGCCAAGTAACATTCCTGTAGAAAGCTTTGAAGTTTATGGAGTGGCGCTTGCTCTTGTTGCTCAAGCTTTTGTTGGGAAAAAACCTCATCTCATCCAAGATGCTGATAACCTTTTTCAGCAACTTCAGCAGACAAAAGTAACAGCTTACGGCAGCTCTGTGTCTGTCTACACTGTTAGAGAAAACCGTGAAATAGACTTTGCTTTGGAGAGGGGCCTTTGTTCACTTCTTGTTGGAGAAGTCGATGAATGTCGCTCATGGTTGGGCCTAGACAGTGAGGATTCACCCTATAGAGATCCATCTATTGTGACTTTTGTTGCAGAACACTCAAAGGATGACAACGAAAATGGTCTGCTCCCTGGATTATGTAAGCTTCTGGAGACCTGGTTGATGGAAGTGGTCTTTCCCAGATTTAGAGAGACACAAGATATCATTTTCAAGCTTGGAGACTATTATGATGACCCTACTGTTTTAAGATATTTAGAAAGGCTGGAAGGCGGTGGTGCGTCACCTTTAGCTGCTGCAGCAGCTATTGCAAGGATTGGAGCTGAAGCTACAGCTGTGCTAGATAGTGTTAAGGCTAGTGCTATTCAGGCATTACAGAAAGTTTTTCCTGCTGGTGATGGGGAAGGCAGTGTAAGACGATATGGCGACAATGAGATGAACGAATTTGATATCGCTAAGCCATTTGAGGATCCTGTAGAGCTTCGTGATCAAAATAATTTTATCACGTCAGTTGAGGATCCTGAGAGAGTTCCTTCTGGTTATCAGGAGCAAGATATGATAACCGACAAAATAAAAGATGCAACCGTGAAGATTATGTGTGCTGGAGTGGCAGTTGGATTCTTGACTTTGGTTGGATTGAAGCTTTCTTCCTTTAAACATGGGTCTTCAGTTCTTCGTAATGGTACTGGTTCAGCTATTGCCTCGGATGTCATCAATGTGGGTATGACTTACTGATCACTTTTGGTTCTTAGTAACTCTCATAGTTGGCAAAATATGACCCATGGTGCCTTTCTCTTTTTATTTTCTCTACTGCATTCAACAGCTTGGTCTCGAGAGGAAATATCTTCTTTAAAATATGTTATAAGTGGTTGCTGTAAAGCTGTCTTATAAAGATATAAAAGCTATCTTCTTCTATTCGTATTATAAATTCTTAATGCTGGACTTCTTTTCACTTTTTGAGTAAGGGTCTAAGCGCTCCTGCTTTCTTCCTCCAACTTTCCCTTCTTTTGGATATCATAAATTTTACCTGTTACTGCAGGTGCCACACTAGTTGAAAATCCTCTTGAGGTTCCTAGAATGGATGCAAGGCTTGCAGAAAGTATGGTTAGGATGTGGCAGAATATCAAATCCCAGTCTCTTGGACCTGATCATTGTCTCAACAAATTGTCAGAGGTAATGAATATATAATGCCTTTCTTTTTATAGTGTTGATTCATGTTTTGCTAGAATGACATGCAAGGACAACGAAACCTGAAAGCCAATAGGCCTTCCTGACAGTAGACACACTCCACTAGATGCGGCTGCCTGAAAAGCCTAGTTTGCCACTTCGCCTTTATCAAACCTTACCGCATTTCTTTCCGTCCGGCTTAGGCTTCATTAGCAAATAATTGAACAGATTCCTCACTGAGAACCTCAGCCAGGAGGAGTGCAGAAATCTGTGACATTGTTTATAATAGTTGCCGCTACCTAAGTGACTCAGTCACCAGCTATGGCATCGCATGAGAGATGAGCAAAACTGCAAATTATCGTATAACATGAATAGGGACACCAATTAGTACAATTCTTGTGTCACCCATAGTCTTCCCACAATTATGTTTATGAAGAGCCCATTCAGAAAAGAAAAAAATTATATTTATGAACAACCAAATAGAACATATAAAAACCCATACAAAATGGAGACTAAGGAAGACCTTTGGAGATTAAATTACTAAATAAAGAACAAATACAACACAACTGTTACCTTTCTCAAAAACAAAGAAAAAAAGAAGAAACAAAACAAAAAGAGAAACAAAAACAAATGTCTATACCTAGTCTTGCGGCATCCTCATAAAATGTCTATGTCTATACCTATAGTCTTGCAGCATCCTCATAAAATGTCTTATGTTAAAGGACTGAATTTGCTCTTTCGAGACTCGAATAGGAGTAATACATCTTGGTTTGCAAAAGAATTATACTAACAAGTTTCCAAATGTTGGAAGAAATTGAGAAAAGAGGACTTGTAGTTTGGCATGTGTCCAAATAGTATGCATCTGAGTCTGTCGCGTCTGCCCTCCATTTGGTTGTAAGCTGGCTCAAGAACCTTCTCCTTTGGATTTCCTTGTTTCAGACTTAAGGATCAATTGGTTGTGCTGTCTATAATTGGGCGACAATGATCCATGGTTCCTACCTCCACCACTGACCTCTGAGTAGTCTTCAAAGTTACTAATGGTGCCTCATCTCTTTAACTTGTATGAATATTTACTAATGAGATACTGAGAATGTGTAACATGGATATATTCTTTTTTTCTGTTGAAGCAATATATAGGTTAGAAGTAGGTTGGTTTTTTGTGCTACAATTTAGTACTAGATTCCAAGGATTTATATTTTAAGTTTGCTTATGTCGAAACTTGATTGCCACTAAAATCAAATTGAACCATTTTGGAATAACTAATGTACCAAAATTTAAGGAATAATTCTGAATAGACTTTAATTCCTGCCAAAGCAGGGGTTAGGATTGTACATGGTAACTGTACTATTTTGGCTGTTGTTCGACTGCAGTTTATCCACTTCTTTTTGCAGTATCTGGCGTCATGTTTGCGGTTGGCCTGACATTATTGTTCAAACTGCCAGGTTTTGGATGGTCAGATGCTGAAGATTTGGACAGATCGTGCAACAGAAATTGCCCAGCATGGCTGGTTTTGGGACTATGAGCTTTTAAACCTTACCATTGACAGCGTGACTGTCTCAGTTGATGGCCGGCGTGCTATTGTGGAAGCTACCCTTGAAGAATCGGCAAGCTTAACTGATATGGCCCACCCGGAGCACAATGACTCATACAGTACTACCTATACAACTAGGTATGAGATGTCCTGGGCAAATTCTGGTTGGAAAATTGTGGAAGGAGCCGTTCTTAAATCACGATAACGGATGTATATTTAGACAAAATTACGTGTAAAGTGCATTATTTTTGTTTATTTTGCTTTACTCTCAAAAGTCCGGTAAATGGTTAGTGTTGGCCAATTATAATGTATCTTGTTTGGATCATAGAATTGCTGAGTGTAGTCAGGAAAATGACCAGGATTTATGTGAGATAAATGTTATACTTCCCAAGGGCTGACCTCTTTTTTAAGAAGCAGAGGCGTACGTCTTTTATTCATCATGGGGTGTGTGTAAGCTCCAATTTACTGGACTTAAACCTAACGAGTATTTATATTTTAATATCTTTAAATGTAAAAATATTTCTTTAGATGTTATAGAATCACATATAATATCATTTAGTAAATTTGAGTCAAATATTTAAAAGGTAACCTGATATACATATTGGCTCTAAGAGGCTCTCTTTACCAAAAAGAACAAATAAGGAGAAGAGAAAAGAAGGTTACGTGGGTTTATATTCCAACCAAAACAAAAAACTGCAGATAAGATGTCTTTTGAAGACAATTCTCCTATACTGTCCCAATGATTTTGAGTTCCTTATTTTACATATAAGCTGCAATATATATCTTCCACTTATATCTACATACAAGGATGACTGTCTGAACTTGAGATCTCGAGGTTGTGGATTGAATTTACATAATGTACATTAATAAAGCTCGATAACGAGTAGGGGGAGGGTTAATTAAGTATACAGATGGGACACCTTTTGTGTATATTTAGATACTATAGGGAGGTTAAACTTCTAAAATGTACATGAATTGAGGGGTCAATTCATCTTGAAGCTACTACAATGCTTCAAATAATCCTTAAAATCTTTGCTTTTGATCACATAGGCTTTCTTGGTTTCCAGCTGAAAGACCTGAGATTTTTTGGCCCTGGTGAGAAGTTAAGTTCAAACATCTCTTTTGGAACTTCGTTCTGTGCTTCGAATCCAACTAATTTTGAGATAAGTGCTGCACTCTCCTTAATGTGATCCATGTCTTTGGTATCTTTCCATAACTTATGGCACAGTTGGAGTCTTCTCTTTTTAGTTTTTAGATCAATGCCCCATTTCTGGTATAAGTTGTCTCTCTCCTTTGAGTGAAACTTCTTAAGAAGCAGCTTGCTCAACATCTCCCTCTCGCGATTCAGAGCATTTAAACTGTTCAAAGGATAAGAATACATTTGCATCAATTTTTATCTCTTTCAGATAGAAGAAGTTTACATGGTTGTTAAATTAAAGGGAAAACGTCCAAATTTATCCTTCTACTATACGAAATATTTGAATTTTACTCTCCGTTATACTTTAGGGTCATTCATATCCTTGTGGTTAGCAAATTGTCTCGTATTTGCCCTTGACTTTAATGGAGCTACAGCGTGGACTAAATGGACTCCACATATCAAATACTTCAGGAAAAAGGTCCACGTTTACCTCTGTATTTCTGACTGTGGTTTAAAATTATCCTCAGTTATACTTCAAGTTGTATCTCCGTTATCGTCAAGGGCAAATACGAGACGATTTGCTAATGGAAGGGTATGAATGACCCTAAAGTATAATGGAGAGTAAAATTAAGATATTTCGAATAGTAGAAGAGTATTTTTGACCGCTTTCCCTATATTAAATGAGTGATTATCCTACAGCTTGTCTTGTCTCCTTGCTTGTGAAATTGGAACAAGAACTCAAGACACAGCAGCCCATGCAAGAAATCTCCAAAAACTGCAGGAAATAAAAAGGTATAATGAGTACCTTGCTGCCTGTGAGAAAATTTGACCATCTTTCACAACTTTAGCTCCCAAAGAGAATGCATTCTTCAAATAGGTAAGTCTTCTTAGCTCCACCTCCATGTAAACTGAGTCAGTTGGATCTCCTTTGAATAGTAGGAAAAAGTATGTTCTGTGAACTAGGGGCACATTGCATGCATCCCATAGTTCTATTATCTCTTGCCTTTGTTTTTCAAATTCCGTCGATTGTCTGGAAGGAGATAGCTCCGATTCGTTTTCTGAATTCACGGAATCACCTATAAAGTTCCCCAATTCCTTGGAGATTGGCTCATTATCCTGGACCTAGCAAGAATTATAAATTCTATAGTAAGTGAAAATGCGAGATTTATGTTGAAAGAATTAAGCCAACCTGTTCGCAGACAGATCCTAAATTGTTCTTATGATTTCTAACAAATTTACTGAAGTATGTATTGATCAAGAAAACTCTGCCTGTGTGAGCTTGCTCACATTGCCGGTCCCAATCCCGAATAAAGGAGGGGGGTTGCGGTAGGCTGTCAGCCATGATACAACTTGCTAATTCATGATGAATCCTTATAATATTATTACTGTTATTTCTTATTATTATTACTATTATTTATATTTGTATATTTATCTTATTTTTCAGGTTCACTTTTATTACATTTTGGTAATGTTGATGATATGACATGAGCTTAATGAAAAAATTAAGATTCATATCACCGACCCAACTCGTTTGGGACTGAGGCGCTGTTGTTATTGTTGTATGTATGTATTGATCAAGAATTATATCAGGAGAAGTTTTAAGGCTCTTTGTTTCAAGGAGGATGTGCAATTCTAGATATTATGCTCAAGCAGCAAGTTAGATACTCACCAAATTATCACCTGATTGCTTTTCAGGCACAGATTTGGCAACCTCAGCCTCGGTACAAATTTTTTCAATATCTTCACCTGATTTTTTGAGTTCCTCAGCAGAAATCTTCTCACTATCATCACCTTTCATTTTGAGCTTTACTTCAATCGTAAAACAATGGTTTTGTTCTTTTGATAACACCTTAACACTATCAGCAGCAACCTCCGGCTGAGAAGGCTTCTCCTCAAGATCATTCTTTATTGTACATAACTCTTTCTCAGACTCGCTTAATATGCCCCCATTTTCTTTTGCTAGTTCAGACCCTTTTACTACTGGCACGTTAACGATTATTGCTTCACTGCTTCTGCTCCTAGGTAAGTTATTTGAGTCAGAAGAATCTGTGTCGGAAGAAGAAGATTGTTCGCCAGCCAGATTGTGGTCTATGTCAATGGAACCTGATTCCTGATCTCCCTTTCGAGGTGATGTATGTTTATCAGAGCTTGTATTGTTCGTGTTAGAATCCACTTCAACACATTGAACTTCCTTGCAGTTATCTTCCAAATTTGGAACAGTTCTTTGAGCAATGTTTTCCCATCCTTTACATGGATCTGGTCCAAAATACTTCTCAATAAACAGCCTCGGTGAGGTGTCATCGCAGAGAAACTGATCTTCTGGAGGGTCAGGAATCTGTTCGCTTAGCTTGTTAGAATTATTAAGGCCTTCGTATCCGTCAGGACGAAAAGGATATACACATTCTGATACTTCTGATGCTGCATAGTCATCCATCCATTGGACTTTATCAGGAGATGACACACTACTCAGTTCAGTCTACAGGAGAAAGAGAAACCGATTAAGTTCCTTTTGATGTAGTATTATGTATTGAATAGTTTATGACCTTATTTCAAGACGAACTACATACCCATGACCCTGAACTTGTCATATTAACACGAGATTGAGCAAGATCCCGCTGCTCGGTTAACTCCCTTATTTCTCTGCTCATCTGCATCATCATACAAATAGGACAAGGTTATAGATGTCTTGTCTTGAACTGAAGACGCTATATGTAGTTCGAAGTTCAACCAATTGAAGTTAGATAAATATATACTACCTTTTCTATCAGAGCTTCCTTTTCTTTCAATGCTTCTGCAGATCCACCTGAAGCAGCAAGCGCCGATAAATTCCTCAGCTCAGCCTCCAATCTAGCTAGTTCTTTTCGTAATTGTTTCACTAGTGCCTTCTCTGACATTACCACATTGACTTTAGCATTAGTAATGACGTTCTTGGCGCAGGTTGCAAACAATAAAGTGTTCCTCGATTGCTCAACGTGGCTATGTGCAGGACTCATGGTGCAAATGATGGCAGTTCTCGCATTGCCTCCCAAGGAATTCTGTAGTATACGTGTCAGCTTCGAGTCTCTGAAAGGTATGTGTCCATTTCCTTTTTTGCTGATCCACATATAAGACTTAAGTTAATGAACAGCAAATTTATCTGAAGCTTTAACTAGGAAACTGTAGTTACATGTCAACCTTAATTTGCGAATAACAGTTCCAAGAGTTAGCAAACTGCGATTGATGTGGCTGCCTTCTTTCAATCTGACATTTGCCGATAAGGTTTGAGAAGCACGCTCACTTCCAGCAAGATCAACAAAATTCTGCAGGAAAGGAAAAACAAAATATTGTCCGTCGCTCATTTTAATAGGAACTAATGTCAGAGGTAATTTTCCTTACCACAGCAGAAGTCAGAGTACTTGAATTTTGAAAGCCAACAAATTTCTTAGCGGTACTTTCAACTGTCTGCAATAAGATCATTTGTTGGCCAAGTCAAGAAAATAATATATCTCCTTGTGTTATGATACGTGACCAATCGTGTAACCATTAAACTTACCAAACGTAGAATCTGGTGAGATCTTGAGCTCATTTCATTTAGAGCAGTTTCTCCTATTTTCCTTTGAGCTACAAGAATGGTGAAAGCTTAAGTTATACAACAATAACAACGACGACTCAGTGAAATGAAATTTTAAGTTATATTATATGTAATCTTTTTTGCAGGAACACTACCAATATGCAGTCTCAGTCTTTTTACCTTCACATACCGACAACAGCTCCTTTAGATGGTTCCAGTCCTTCAATGTTACCTCTGTAAGTTTTTCAACTACAGTCCCTCTCTGCAAAACAAAGAGTACAATTTCTTGCATAATATCGTCTGTGAATAAGACAAAAGTTGATCATGCTTAAAACATATAGTAGTATTTACCTCTGGATCATCGAGGAGTCTAAGTGGAGTATCATCCGGGGTTAGAAGGTCTCTAACAACTTCATTGTATATCTCCATTGCGGAGAATTTAAGTGTAAATTCTCGGTCATCATTCTATAAATTTTTGAAAAGAAAAATGCACCTTAAGAATTAGACGCTGTGAATGACATACATAGTTTCTAAATGTATTACATAGGAGCATAGGAAAGTCTACACACCTTGCTTGTATGATCATATATATCAGCTAATGTATATTCAGTGATTCCAGACATGGTATATGTTTTTCCACTGCTCGTCTGTCCATACGCGAAAATACTTGCTGCAAAAACATTTCACCAATTATTGCTGCAACAACATTACTTAGGGCAGAAAATGGACAGTGAACAAGGATTAGTACT